GAGAATAAAGAATTGAGAGTTAAAGTTTCTGAGTTAGAAAAGAGTGTAAAAGACTATAAAGAGTTACATAAATATGTTTGATGAAAATTATGCAGATAAGGAATTCATTAAGGATCTGCAAAGAGAGAATAGAGCTTTGAAGGAAATTTTAGAAGGTTCCTCGCAAGATGTAGTCGATAAACTTAATAAATCTGAATCTGAACTGCATATTGAGAGGAACTCTTATGGGAGGAAAAATACAGAGACTGAAGACTTTACTAAGAAAATTCATAAATATGAGAATGATTTGACTGAGATAAGGAAATTATTGGAACTAAAAAAGGAAAAAGTTTTAGAGGCTGAGAAGGTTTTAAATGCTGAAAGGAAAGATAGGAGAAAGAAAAGAAGAGGATTATTGAAGTTGAGAAAAGATTTGATTCTGAACGAAAATCTTCTGATTTTGAACAACTTATTTTTCTCTTCTTTGTCGATCCCGATGCTAGTGATATACCAGTAGCTATGTAACAACTCCCCATGCAAAAACATACCATTCCAACCATACGATTACATAACATAAACATATATGTATATAAGATAATACCAGTTTGTTTACAGACAGTAGATCAGATCAAAACTATACAACGTGATGGATCTCCAACAAGAGCTGTTTTAACTAAATTAAAGGTCAGATAAATGTCTATCTTATTTTTCCCTTACCTTTTTTTAAGTCTCATGTTGTCCTGGAAAAATAAAGTTTACAACAACTGAGGGTTAGACCGAAATGTCTAGTGAGTGAATTCCATCATATAACCTTTTATACATTTATACAATTTAAATAGCAAATTTATCAGTTATTAAAAAAACTGTACAATTGTAGTATCATCCATCAGAGATAAATCTGCCAATTATCGCGACTGTCCCGCCATCTTTCACAGGTATCCTACTAACTATTGCGGCTCGCCCGCCATCTATACGCAGGTACCTTAATCGCGGGTGGCCCTCCATCTATATACAAGTATCTTATTAACTATAGTGATTGTCCCGCCATTTATCACAGGTACCCTGCCAACTATCGCGGTTGATCCACCATCTATTTGCAGGTATCTTATTAACTATAGCGACTTCCCCACCCTCTAACGCAGATACCCCACCAGATATACGTATATAATACATAAACATAATAATTAAACCTCGAAAAACATTCACAAAGAATAATACCGGTTGAACATTCTCATCGGTCAATATAGGGCCAAGGACTGCCATCATCGGACAATACTTGGACGATGAAGCGCCCTTTCCGGTCAATACTTGGGTGATAAAACACCCTCACTGGACAACACTTGGGTAATTAATATATAATTATGTATTTTAAATACAATAAAAATTTAAAATGAAAAATGAAAACGTAAAAAATAAAAACAAATTAATTCGTATGTATTTATAATATTTAATAATATGTTTAAATCAAAAAATATTCAATATTTGGCTCATTTTGAATGTATAGCCTAATATTGAATGTATTGACGAGAGGATTATAATGACATAATTTATATAAAAAATGCATTTTTAATGTATTTTAGTTCATATAAGATTATTTATGTTGATATGATAAATGTGTAAAATGAAAACTCAAAACGTAAGGGATATAAATTAAATTAAATAATTATATAAGACTTTAAAGTTTAGAAATAAATATGATTAGACTAAAGTTTGTACATTTACATCATTTGTGTGTATTCATAATATTTAATAGTGTGATTAAATCCAAATATTTAATATTGGACTCATTTTGAAGCTATTGACAAAAACGTTTATAATGAAATAATTTTGTAAAAATGGAAACGTATTTTTTAATGCATTTTATTTCATATACGATTATTCATGTTAATACGATTAGGATGTTAAATGTTGTTTCATGGGTCTCATGAAAACAAGTTGGTCTCACTGAACCCAACCACATATATATATATATATATATATATATATACACACACACACACACACATATATATATATATGTGTGTGTGTGTGTGTATATATATATATATATATGTGGTTGGGTTCAGTGAGACCAACTTGTTTTCATGAGACCCATGAAACAACATTTTTTTACATTTAAAACTTCACAACAATATATATATATATATAGAGAGAGAGAGAGAGAGAGAGAGAGAGAGAGGAGGGGGGGGACAATCTTTTACAAACTCCTTCAAGGTTACAAACCATGCAAATTAATCCCAGCCAACCATTTTTCTTATCAACGATTGAGACTTTTCTAGATTAATATTGATTTAAAAGATTAGGAAATGATAGTTTTGAAATTGTTGCATACGATATCGTTTTGGTGGACTAAAATCTTATCCGATAAACAATGATAATGTTAAATTTTACCGATAAACATTTACCCGATAAGTGTTTGGTAAACGGCCCCCAAGTTTTTTTATTCTATTTTTCTTAAACACGCAAATGATGTACGCTATTCTAACTTTAACATGAGGACAGATGCCCCTCTCCATCATATATAAAATTTGCTAGCCTTAATTAGTTTTTAAAAAAAAAAAAAAAATGGAAAAATCTTATCATATGCATATTCAAGAAATTAAGGCTATGAGGATCTTTTACATGCATGAATGAAGCAAAACCAAAGTAGAATTATTACAATTGTTCAAACACTCCAATAACTGTACGTCTTTATCGTCACACCACTAACTTAGAAGATCGATGCAGGCATCTTCATAATTAATTTAATTAATGTTGATCAAAATTAATTAATTAAGCACTAATTAGAATACATCAAAGTAAAGTTAAATAATTAAGAAGGAGACATATATATGAATGAATGCAACAACTAAAAAACCATATATATA